AATAAAAAATAAAGGATATAGGTGGCAATCTCATACAGGAAAGAGAACAAGCTTATTTTAAGTGAATATTTCCAAAAGTTCAGTTATTGTTTTAGCACCTTTGCTAGTACATACTATTTCCATCAACAAGTATGCCAAAATTAGCAAGAGCCAAGACTGACAAATTTCTTTGGCTTTCTCTAGTACCTATTTTCTATACTTCCATTATCCCAACTCTGAATTTGGTCTGAAAATACATTACAATTAATGTCTAACACAATACAGCTTATGATGTGGTTATAGATTCCTCAGGGAACAGAATTAAACCATCAAACCCATTTTCGAAGTCTAGGGTGAAAGGTTAATGGATTTACTAAAATGCTAAACAAAGTCAAAGTGGTACCCCTTGGAGAGAGAGATCAGGAAAAGCATCAAATGCTTATCTGGACAAATTTTTTCTCCATTCTGAAAATATTCTAAATAATGTTAAAGGAACTGCAGAAAAACGATTGAGGCTAAACAATTAAATAAGGATGAGTCCTTTGTTACTGCCCCCCACTGAGGATTTCCTAGCAAGTTTGAGTTTTTATCTTGTTTCTTAGAAGACGTGGAACAGTAGGTCAATAGCAAGTGTTACCTACATTTAGCAGATGGTAGAGATGAGGCTGCAGAAAACATGATATGCTTAGCTTCTCACCTCAGTGGTAGGAAGAGTGGATAATGTGCAGAACCTGGGAATCCAACTGCATTCCTCATGACCTGGACTATCCTTTCTCTCTCAGAATTAAAAATGTAATATTGAGGGGGATACATAAAAGTTATATTCCTTCAGAAAATGTGGGCTCAATTATAGTTGGTGTAGTAGGTTACATTATTGTTTAGAAATATCATCCTCCTCTCTACCTCCACAGGTGTATTCTTCCCTGTGTTTCAGCTTTGGGCTTGCCCATATAACTTGCTTTGACCAATGGGCTGTTGGTAGATATGCCAACAGCAAGAGCTTGAAAAGTGCTTGTGCAATTGTCTTCTTGTGCCTCTGTCATTGCCATAAAAAGAGATTCCTCCGTGTATCTGTCTGCCCCAGAATAAAGATAAGTGGAGCCAACCGGAGCCAAGCCTGCAGCTCAAAGCAGAGCCATCCAACTGAGTCTAAATTGGCCAACTCCCACCACCACGCTGACCCATGAAAAATAAGCACTTATTGTTGAATGGCACTGAGATCTTATGGTTGCACAGTAATAACTGACTAAACATGAGTATTATGTGGTCAATAGTCCAGGGTCTGAGGATGGTTGATTTCATTTTTGCTTTGTTTCCTGAGCTGGCTTTCCTATTTTTAACTCACGAGACTTGATTCCCCCAGGCTAGCCTGATTTGCTCCAGCTCCCAGCCATTTCTCTAATTTTGCACTCAGTTTAGTTGTCTTCACTACTGCTCCAATATTTACAACTGAAATTACCATGCCCTTGGTGTCCCACATTGATTGGCTTTTTCTGCTACTGCCCAGAGCAATCCATAGAATCCCCAGGAATATAAATGGGCTTAAGGCATTTACAGACTTGGTGTCTGTATATTTTTGCTCTTCTGCTATATTTAGAGAAAGGCAATTTTGACATCATTATTTGTTCAGGATAGGTTTATCACTATGAAAATCTTATTTTCATGTAATATTCAGAAAATAACTATTTTTTAAACTACAGAATCTGAGAAGAATCCCATATGAATAAAGCTGACGGAATTTAAAATTGCTTCATTACAGGTCCAACTTATATAGATATATCTATTGATAAAATGTACATAGGGGAAGTAATTCAACTTTCAAATTGCAGGTTCTCAACCTCAGCACTATCATTGTTTGGGACCGGATAATTAGTTGTTGTGAGAGGCTGTCCCAAGCTTTCTAGGATGTTTAGCAGCATTCCTGGCCTCTACCTACTAAATGTCAACGGCACCTCTCCCTGAGTTGTGTCAACCAAAAATATCTCTAGACATTTCCAAATGCCCCTGGGCAAAATTGCCGCGGTTTAGAGTCACCGAGATAGAGGATATTTATTTTCATTTATCCACTGAAGGTAACTAACTCAACCTTCTCCATTTTCCCTTTTCTCCCCAATGACTTTCCTAATCTATCTGATCTCTGTGCTTTCTCCAAAAGAAAGGGTAGTCATTCTTTCCCCATGTCTGTCAAAGTTTAAAGAAATGTTCCACTGCACTGAAGTCCAGTTACAATGCAATGATAAATGCCAAAGCAACCTTTGTTGGACATGAACTCATAAACAGACAGGGCCCGGTGAACATGGCATCAGTTATGCCAATTTTTTGGTGCCATAATATATACTGAAGCCAGATCAACAGAATACAGTAACAATGGATCATGTGTCTGAACCTGCACATAGTCTTATTATGGAGATCTGGGCATCATAGTGGTATTCATTAAAGTGGTATTTTACCTTTATCTCATTTTTCTCAATTGTATAAAGTCAAAAGTAAGGAATTTCTCTATTGATCTGAAGTTTTGCTCTCCAAAAAGCTACAACCAGTCTGATTCTTATAATTAGACAGTATAAGATTTCTTGCCTGCAAACACTATAATCATATTTTGTTTTCAACAAAGAACCATCTGCTTTTCAAAGGCTGCGCTCCCGGGCATGCGATATTTCATTTAGACATCATGGTGTTGCTGTATTTTTCTTGCCGTGTTCATTCACCACAGTCATCACAAGTGTAAAGTCCTCAAGCCTTGTATCACAATAGGGTTATTTCCTTCTCCAATGTTAGTGTTAAGGCAGCATGTCAATATTTTATGCACAGAGTGACATAGAAAATATAGTAGTAATTAAAACAGTTAATCATAGAGCCAACTGCATTGGCAGCTGGTGAACACCTCTTCACCAACAATATTCAAGCAGAGGCTCAAAAGTCAAGGATGTTTACTTGGAGCGGGCATTGGCCAATCTAATTTCCACTGTTCCCACCAAATCTAGTTCTCTATTATTCTTATTTTTAATCAGTCTAATCTCATCCAATTAACCTCTGAACTACTCTTGGAAAGTAAGGGCTGCAAGAGGTAATGCCTAACATTTATTACATATATTATCTCATTTAATCCCCTTCAAGTACTTATAAAATGGGTATCATCATTTCCATTGTACAGATGGAGAAACTGAAGATTAGAAAGACAAAGTACCTCTTCCAACTCAGTGTCAAAGCAGAGATTTAAGCGTCCAGGTTCAATCTGACTACACCAGCACTACCCTAAAGTAGTGGTCATGACCTAGGGGTCCGAGTCACGATCATATGATGAGTTTGTACCAAATCAGCATAATACACAAGCCAGAGATTTTTGCCACACACAACAAACTCTTTCTCAATCCTTCTTAAAATTCATGGCTTGTATCACTTATGACAAAGTTCTGTATTAAACAAAAAACTAATAGGCAAGGAAGAGAACTATAATAATGTCTTGCTACAAATGAAACTCTGTTCTCTAGTTCTTAAATGATTGTGTTGGCTCAAAAATATAATTAAATTTTTTACACAAAACATTCAGCTAAAAGGGAAGAATAAGGCCTTATCGTTTTAACTTTGTTATTTCTTTTAAAACTGCATATACCAGTTAGTGGAATGGTTTGTGTGTGTGCGTATGTAGTTCATAGGAAGTAAGTTTTGAGTCCTAGATTTCATTTCCATGCCATTCTTTTCCACACCTTCAGAAAGATTTGTAGAGAAATACAGTTCAAAACAGATCAAGAACCTTGCTTAAGGTACAACTATTTTCCTGATGGAAGTCAGAAAACTACAAAATAAGATGGTTCCTTGCAGTATATATATTATTTCAGAACAAGATGAGGAAACATAATGCTAAAAGCATGCACTAGAAATGCTATTTCTGTATAAAATTAATGAAATGTCAGGATCAAGAGGAATCCAATAAATCCCTATTATTCCCTTCTGTTTTATAGTTTATTACATGAAATGCATGCAGCTACGGATCTGAGACCTTTCCTCCTATTAAACCTACAATCGACTAAATTGACACAATTCCACTCTCTCATAAAAAGAAAAAGCCATGCTATCCAAATTACATGATTTACTTTCATCTGTTATTTGACCTTTACGTACTTGTTTATGGTTCCGAGCTTGTGAAAGCTGGCTTGACTTATGAAAGTATTTTCCTTACGGCAAACAAAACAAAGCAAGAGAATCCCCCAGGGCACTTTGTTCTATTTATATCTCATCTTGTTCCAAAGGATATTTGAGAGAACTTACAAAACCGTGTATAGTAATATGACAATATTAAAAGAGAGAAAAGGTCAGAGCCAAAGAAAATCAGAATAACAAGAGAGAAAACTTTATAATGTGACTTACTTAAAATGTGAAGGGGATTGACCCCTTAGTCCCCATTACTTAAGTTTAGAAACAAAAGAATCCACTCCAAGTAGGCTCTACTGGTTTTGCTTCACTAGCCCATTTCTCTCTGCGTGTAGCCCACTCTGACTTATTTCATCTGAAGTCTTTCCGGAAGAACACCAGGATAGTAGCAGTAACGTAGTGATGGGTATTGTTTATTGAGCAATTCCTCTGTGCTACACCCAAAACGCCACTCACTACATTTGGTCACACTCTAAGCTGAATTCAATTCAACTGGTAGACATTTGTGTTCTGTTATTTCATTTCTTCCCACACATTTATTTCTTGTGTGCCTTGTGAGTGTCAGCCCTTCAAGGGCAACGACAAGATATTTTGCTCTTTTATGTTGCTCGCAATGCCAATTCTACCATCCAATCTACTCAAAAAAGAAAAAAAAAAAGCAATCTGTGGGTAGAGCAGACTTTGCCCGGCTTTGTCATTTTCGTGTGTGTGTGTGTGTGTGTGTGTCCTATTCTAAATCTACTCATTAGAGACCCTCAACCCCAATCTCAGAGCCTGTAAATAAAACAAGACCTTGCAAGGAGAGTGGAAAGAGGTTGTTATGGGTTAAATTGTGTCCCTCCCAAAATTCACAGGTTGAGGTCCTAACCGCCAGTACCTCAGACTTTATTCAGAGATGGGGTCTTTACAGAGGTGATCAAGTTAAAATGAGGTCATTAGGGTGGGCCCTTATCCAACACGCCTGGAGTCCAGATAAGAAGGGGAAATTTGGACACAGACCCATACAGAAGGAAGACGATGCGAATCCACAGGGAGAAGATGGCATCCACAAGCCCAGGAGAGAGGCCTGGAACACATCCTTCCATCACCGCCCTGAAAAAGAACAAACCCTGCTGACACCTTGATTGCAGACTTCTAGCCTGGAGCACTGAGAGACAATACGCTTCCGCTGTTTAAACCACCCTTTTTGTGGTAGCCTTGGAAACTAAGAAAGAAGTTTGTTTTGCCTGTGTTTTTGTTGTATTTTTTAACTTGCAGAAGCCAGGTATTTTCTGTGGCTGTCTGAATTCATTGAGATAAGAATTGTGTACATGTCACTCTTTGTCTTTATGTATAACAAACTATTAAGAATATATACACGGTAGGGTCTGGTATCAATATTTAGTTCCCACTCACTGGTTAATGGGTGCTAATCTTTAACTAGTGTTTCCAAGAAAATAATATCCATTCTGCTCCAGTCTGAATGATAAAATTTATGGTATCATCATCAACAACAACAACATTTTATTGAGGTTTTACTCTGTGACTGTTACCCTTCTGAGCGCTTCAGGTTAAATCATTCAATCCTCACAATTACACTAGGAGAGAAACACTACTCTTATCTCTACATCTGGCTGCTCTGCACAGTACCTCTTCTTTCTTTAGGCCTTGACTAGCAACCACAGAAAGTTCTAGTCTTCTCTTATGTATTTGCCTAAAGTACATTCCTTTAAGAACGAATGTTTGGTAGCTACTTTTCTCAAAGGCTTTCATTCTCTCCAATTTATTCTGCAAATTGTTGAATACTAACATTATAAGTTCATGACAGTTTTTCATGAGAATGCAGGTCCAGATGCTATGCATCGCCTGTTTCAGAATCACCTTGACTACTCATTTAAAATTCTCTTTCCAGGGCCCTATTCCAGACCTAATGAGTCAGTTGTGTTGGTAGGGCCCTGAAAACTGCATTTGTAAACAAACTTCTTGGGTGATTCTTCTCCACATTCAAATTTGAGAAACATGGTCTATTTTGCAAATGCCACCTGTGGTTTTACTATTAATTAAATCGATTAATTAATTAATGAAGGCCTTGCCTATTTATCTACTGGAAGAGTCTTTAGAAATGATAAAAGGATAAACCTAAAATTATAATAAAATTTTAAAAATCAATGCAGCTTTAAAGCAGATTAGATGCCCACTGTTAGGAAGACAAGGAAATCAAGCATTAATACTCAACAAATGAGCCTGAAAATATCATCAATCCATCTGCTTTACATTAAATGTCTCATTAAGGAGGATAGTTTTGGCATGTGGTTACTGACCCTGTGGATTTCACCAATTATTTCATAATATTGCAATCCAACTTACAGGTTCAGATCGTGTATTCACAATGAAATCTAATGGACCAGAAAGAAGAAAAGAATTAATTATGAAAAGATACGTCATTCTCATTATTTCAGAAAATTTTCCATCAATTTGATTTCTTAGAAGTCATAAGAAAGGCTAAATATTTCCAAGTTCCCTATGGGTGACAGGAAGAGGCATGTTGTGGTGGTCAATCTCTAAGATACCCCCAATAATCCTCACCTCCTGGTATTCAAACCTTTGTCTAGACCCCTCCAATACTGAATAGGGCTAACATGTCTAACCAGTAGGATATTGCAAAAAAAATGATGAAGTGGGACATCTGAAGCTGGGTTATATAAGACATTGTGGTGTTTTCTCTCCTGGATCACTGACTCTGGAGCAGGCCCGCTGCCATGCTGCAGGAACACTTAAGTAGTCCAAGGAAAGACCCCCGTGGAGAAGAACTGAGGCCTCCTGCCAAAAGCCAGTGCCAACTCTCTACTCATGAGAATAAGCCATCTTGGAAGCAAAACCTCCATCCCCAGTCAAGCTTTCAGCTAACTGCAATCTCAGCTGCCATCTTGTTTGCAACCTCATGAGGGACCCCAAACCAGAACATTGCAGCTAAGCTACTCCTGAATTCCTAACCCACAGAAATTGTGTGATACAGCATATGTTAATTTTTGTTTTAGAATATTTCGTTATATAGAAATAGATAATGAATACAGATATAAATGCAATAATCCCAAGGATATTTGAATAATACTGGAAAAGCACTTGACACTATTAGTCTATATATTTTTGCTTAGTCCTCAAATCCAAGTTCCATTTTCACTTTTCCACCATTTTTCTGGATAGCTCCTTCTCCGTCTCCTTTGCTTTCTTCTTTCTCATCCTACCTCTTATGCATGGCCATTTCCCAGAGATCTACTCTTCATTCTCATCAGTTCATTTATCCCATATCAGACATTTTCTCTACAAGGATGGTTTTCAAATCTTTTCTACAGCCTTGAATGCCTCTTTTAGGCTACAGTATACAATTGGCATTTGAATATTTCCACTTAGCTGTTCAAAGTCAACATGACTGCAACTGGATTTGTCTTCTTGTCTTTAAAATTGATTGTCCTCTTCTGACTTCACTTCTATTAGTGGGGCCATTCTTCTCTCAACTGATAAATCATCAAACTGTTAATTCTCTAACTCTTCATTCATTTTTCTCTTGACATCTGTGTCCTATCTTTAAATACTGTAAATTTATGCTTCATAATATCTAAAAAGTTCCCTGCTTCTTTTCATTGCTGTTACCTGACTCACCGCCACATCCTTTGGAGCTGAGAATTACAACCACCCCATGAGGTGATAACTGCAGTAACTGCCTTACCTGCTCTTCTTGACTCTGACATTTCTTCACTTCCATCCGTCGTGCACGTGACTGTCAAATTAATCTTTCTAGACACCACCTCCATTCCTCTTCTACTCACAAATTGTTTATGGTAATTTCTTATCCTTAATTTTACCTTCCCCAACCCCTTCTCCAGTTACTGTATTATTTTAATACTCCTCAACTGATCTGGAATTTTCTGATCACTCTAACATGCCAAATACACTTCTTCCTCCATACACCTTGCCCAGTCCACTCCCCACGCATTAATGACCTCCTTAGCCTGTCTGAATATTCATAATATCTAAATCCTTGTCATATGTCAGAACGCAGCCCAAGTCTCAGATTTCTAATAGATTTTCCCTGATCTCTGGCTCACAAAATGGTGCCAGAGTATATATTCAAAGGCATAATGAATAGAAAGGCAATATTAGTCTGGAATTAAAAGGAAATGATACTATCTATAAAAGTTCTCTGAACTAGTATTACTTGCCACCTGTTGCATTCATTTAGCAGTAAATAACATATATTCTTGTGCTTCTGACCAATGACGGTCTAGCTCAGCAGGAATCAGCTGAACCTCTGGACATTCCACAACTCCATCTGGAATTACAAATGCATGTTGGTCATTAATAAACTGGTTCTAACTGGATCGTGCCAAGACGACTGGGTCAGAGTAAATTTGTTATCATTTAAAGTAGAAAGATGGTGGCACTGCCTGTAATTGTTTCTCTTGCCATAGTTCAATAGTGTAATGCTTAATTGATTAAATTATACTTTCTATACAACACTTTATTAATGAGAGCGAGCACTGCTATCCTTCTCTTAAATTAAAATAATTTTATATGTCGCTGAAATCTCTTAAATGCTAGCTCTAAGGACCAAACCCACATATTGGTATTTCTCTAGCAGCATTCACATACAACATCTACCAAAGCCCAAAGAGCACATCACGAGGTCACTCATGATTTAGCCAATCCCAGGACACTGACAACGATATCCTGGAGCTTTTTCATGTTTATGAGTCTCTTCTCTCTCCATAGATTACTTGCCCCTGGAAGTCAGAAACCAGGTTCAATACTTCATTCAATCAATGTTTTTTCAACATTAGTTCATGAATGATTCATTGAAAGATGTGGAGCAAAAACATATGAAGCAGGCAGATTTCTGAGCGGCAAGCAACAAAAATCAACGCTGGCCAATTTAAGGAGAAAAGGAAAACAATATATTGAAGAGCCATTGGGTGGCACACAGAATCATGTAGAAGCCTGGAGAGCCAGGCTCAGAAAATAATCGGGAACAAGAGGCAGCAGGACCATGACGTAAAACTGATTGGGCAAGAACACTGATGCCCTGTATCTGATGACTGGGCACTGGAAGTACCACCACCGCCACCTCCAGCTGGACTCTGGAGGCCGCTCCTGGCTCTGCTACTGGGGAGACCCGATGTTGCTGTCCCTTTTTGCTCTGGATTCAAATTCTGTAGTAGGCATGTCTGATTGGGCTAGCCTGGGTTATAGTTACACTCCCCAGCAGAAAGAGTCTGGGAAAACAGTGACAAGTGTTTCCAGCTCGGATAGAAACAGGCCAAACAGGCCAAACACAGGAATGAGGATCAGAGGCCAGACAACAAAAATAACTTTTCAAAGAAAGGATATACATTCACTATGATGTGTTATGATCATCTTGCACTTTAGAAAGATCACCCCAACAGGAATGTTGAGAACAAACTACAGAGGCAAAGTTGGAGTTTCAATTTGAAGATGCGTGTAAAATATTATGAAGCTAATGGGACAGGGAGAAAACAATGGATCTGAGAGAAAGTGAGGTGATAAATTTGACAAAACCTGGAGACCAACTGGACTTGATAAGAGGGTTGTCAGTTACTGCTCTTAGATTTCTGCCCTGGGGGACCATGTGAATTAAAATGGAAAATTTAGGAGTGTCAGCAAATTTAGGGAAAATGATAAATATCAATTAGGGGCACATTAAGTATAAGGTGTATACAGTAGTTTAAATATGGCTGTAAATGCTTTACAGTTTTTCTTAGCAAGACCTGGAATCTATTTCCCCACTCCTTGAAGTATACCCGGTTGTATGATTTGCTTTGACCAACAGAATATGGCAGAACTAACATGTGACTGGCAGATCTCAGCCATAATCAGTCTCACATTTTCTATTCTCACCCTCTTGGAATGTCGTCATCACCTTGTGAAGAAGCCCAAGCTAGCCTCCTGAGGACAAGAGACTACAAGGAGAAAGAGAAGTCCAGCCATTCCAGCATTCTGAGCTGAAGTTCCAGATACGTGAATGAGGCCATTCAGGACAAGCCAATCTCCAGCCAACCCATCACCTGACTGCAGCCACCCAAGTGACCCCAAGCCAG